TTCCACGATTTTGACAATAATTTGCGCTACAGACAAGAATATAGCCCGTAATTTCATATTATCACCTTGATACTCTACTTGATATGTAAAAGTATAAGATTCTGCTGTGTTCGAACATATAGCGATCCATTTTTGGACATAATTGTTCACAAATTTGCGCCTATATAAACGGATCTGAAATATGTTCATGCATGAAAGGTTACGCGCTAACACAATATGAACCATGTGCGTTTGTACGGTTTGCATTTTGACTACAGGTATTATTTTCTAAACATTCATTAATATCGTCACATGTCCAACCATCTGAACCAAATCGATAGCCGTTCATACAACTACATGTACAGCTACCATCGTTGTTTGTACATAGTTGATTACATGGACTAGGATTGAGGCTGCATTCATCGACATCTTCACATTCAGTCTGACTTCCATATGTTAGCGCGTAACCTTTCATACATGAACATATTTCAGATCCGTTTATATAGTTGCAAATTTGCGAACAATTATGTCCAAAATCACATGGATCGCTAACGCTACATGTTAGGTTGTTATTATTTAGTTCAAAACCTTGTTCACACTCACATGTAAACGATCCTTCTGTATTAATACAAACTTGGTAACATGGTCTAAATCGTTGGCATTCATTTATATCCACGCAAGTAAGTTTATCACTACTTAACTCGTAACCTTGAATACATGAACATGTATAACTTCTGATGGTGTTATTACAAATCTGGCTACAATTATTAGACATATTTTGACACTCATCTACGTCATAACAGTTTATGCTATCGCCTACATAGCCCGAATTACAAGCGCAGCTATAAGAACCAATTTGATTAGTACATGTAGCGACATTACTGCAGTTATTTGATCCAGTAATACACTCATTAACATCAGTACATCCTCTATTATCACTATTCAGAGTATAGCCAGGTAAAGACTGACAACTGTAGCTCCCCTCTTCGTTAATACAAGTTTGACTGTATGCATGTGTGCCATTTAAACATTCGTCATAATCAGAACATTTCAAGCCATCACCGACATAACCTATTGGGCAATTACTACATGTATAGCCAGACATCGGAGCGATATTGTCCGTACAAGTAGCATTACTGAAGCATGGTTGATCTGCACATGCATTAAAATCTTGTGTACAATGATTACCAGTCCAAGCAGGATTGCATCTACATTTAACTTGATCAACATTATCAACAGTAGCCATTTCGGCTGGGTAATCGCATGTGCCATTATTCGAGCAATAGCACATAATAATTTGAGGTGCAAGCTCGCTTCTTGCTCCTTTATTATCTGTAGCAACAAATGTTAATGAAATATTCTCATAGGTAGATATATTCCATGTAAATGTGTAAGTTTGTCTATCGAAATGGGAATTTATTGGAGGATTAATGATCGCGACTGTAACAATGTCGCCATTATTAGGATCTGTTATGTTCAATGTTGTAGTAAACATATTTCCATAAGTGACATTATATGTCGTCAATCCAGAAATTTGAGGGGGGAAATTTTCTAATTGATTACTTGTATCTTGATATGTCTGAGATGTATCTTTACTAACGACAGCAGCATCAAATAAACATTCACTATTATTACCGCATTGTGCTACGGCTTGGTTATAGAGCTCCGTATTATTAGCAAATAATGCTTGAATATTTTGACCAAAGATTGGCGTAAAGTTTAAATCTGAATAATTACTAGCCGATAGACCATTAGAATAGATAAAAAGTGAATCACTAGCGTTAATCATCCATAATTGGCCAAAAATTGTAAAATATTTGGGATTCTGTTGAATTGATATTCAAGTATGATCCATGTGGTCGTTTGAAATCATGATTGATATTATCATTCCAAGTACCTAAAAGACCAGATGTTATACCTTTAATTTCATCAGGTGCATTGAAAGCAATAGTTAGCATTTGTGTTAATAGTGTAGCTTCCATAGATACTCCAGACGTAAAGATCGCAGCTACTGTTATATTTGATAATCATTGTACGTCCTTGTAACTGAAAATTTTTATTTATAGTTTGCAATAGAATATATTCACCCAGTCCATTGAAGGTGTATAGTTTTCCATCAAATGTCCTTACATGAGGATCACCCCAGAACCACGCTTTTCGCGATGCTTTATATCCAACACATTTATTGATAGGTCTTTTCTTCAAGTAGAGACTACATAGGCTAGATCGCATGCAACAATCCGTTAGAGCCTCATTGTTTCTGGCTTGTAAGGTAGTATTCCTGAAAATAAATGAGCTTCCAAAGGGATAATTAGTAATTAATGAACCGAAAGATTTTCCTGCTAAAGAGTAGCAGCATCGTTGATATACACACTCGCCACTGAAAACTCTTCGTGAAAACCTTGATCTCACGTAAAATGTATTCAAGTTTAATCTAAATCGTCTATCACGAATAGCTTGAAGGATAGAGCAAGGGCATGGCCTTCGTAGTAATTCATTTAGATAAACATCTGGTAATGGTTCATTGACGAACCAAGTTCGGCAACGTTGAGCATAATTAATATGATTTATAGAGGGATCATCAACTCTGTACATTCATCTGCCTTTTTTACCATAATTTCCAGTTGCACTGTCAATCCGTAACAATTGTTTTGTGTTGAAATTTGGTAATTCATAGTATACATAGGGAATTTATTACTATAGCCTACTCTAGCATTTGTAAGTCGATATCTTTTCCACCAATTCATACCTTTATCTTTACATAAAAATGAGGCAAATAGATGATTTCCATCTGATGACAAAACCAATTGGAATGTATTAGTTATACCGAATTTTGAAGTGTGAAGCAGATGGGTAAGGAGCTAGTTTGTACCATGTAATGGTAGTTACTGAAGTTGCGTTAAATCGGGCACGATTGAATCATATAAAC